TTATATTGGTTAACAACTTGACGTGAAAGGTTCGATTCGATTATATTTAATAGAAGTAATCTAAATTGTAGGTCTATTTTTTCCATTCCAAGTATAGCTTGTAAGAAACCCCACAGATCGGTGAAGCTATAAAAGCGTTGTGATAACTCAGCGAATAACATAGAAATGGAAAATGCAATAGTCGTAAACGTTTAGAGGTCGCTGTGTACCGACGCGACGTTACATTTGTTGCTTCCATATAAAATTGGCTCAACCTTTAAGTATTGAAAAAGTTTCTTGTATTTTTGTATATAATACTAGCGGACCCGACAGACGTTGTCCTGTCTACACGTCTTTAATTTGAAAATTTCTTTTAATAACTTTTTTTAATAATTTTTTTGATGAAAATTATTATTCAAATTGTGAATCTAAACCATAACCAGATCCCCTTGAACACACACAAAAAATTTCATCAAAATCGGTCCAGTCGTTTGAGAGAAGTTCAGTGACATACACACTCACAGAAGAATTATATATATAAAGATTGAATAGGTTTTATCATATCGGGATCATGTTATTTTCATTTTCAATGCGTTTTCAGTTTAAGTGTAAATAGCAAGTTGCAAATAAATCTGAGTAAATGCGTGTAGAAAGTAAATTTTAAATAACTTCTGACTCTTAATTCTTTTTCATTTATCTCAGGCTATGTAGGTTCGGTTTGGTATAGTCGTTCTTTGTCTCAATTACCTTCACATACAGATTGTCATCTTTCATACACTATTAGCATTATTGTCATGATGTAATTCACCATATTTGGCACGTTACTTACACGTAATTAATGTCCTGTTTTACATCATAATAATATTGTCAGTGGACATAAAAGTTTAAAGACTTATACTAATAAGCATTGCCCTCGACTCCACCCGTCTTTAGCTAGGCTAATTTGAAGATTGCCTGAAAATTTCGTCAAAATTGCTCCAGCCGTTTTGGAGTCCATAGAGTTTTTCAATTCGATTTCAAATACATACACTTATATACATAGTTTTTCTTGACTATAAATATTTTAAATTGTCATATCGATTTAAAAATAGTATATTTTTTTCGAATAATTTGCTTAAATCGAATCATTGATATACAAAAAATCAAGCTAAACAATTACCGTCTCAAAAGTGTCTTCAAAAAAAAGCGCACAATTTGGAATTGTGCCCTTTTTAGGGTTCCGTTCTCAAAGGGCAATACGTCTGTCACCAGGCTGTATCTCATGAGTCGTGACAGTTAGATAGTTGAAATTTTCACAGATGATGTATTTCTGTTGCCGCTATAACAACGAATACTAAAAAACAGAATAAAATAAATATTTAAGGGGGCTCCCATACAACAAACGTGATTTTTTGCTCGGTTTTGCTCGATATTGATAACGGCAACAGGTAGACTCTTGAATTATTCACAGAGTATTTTGTTATATATTTATTTTAAAAATAAACAATTACATTAAAATAAAACAAATATTTGAGGGGGGCTCTCATACAACAGACGTGATTTTTTTGCCGTTTTTATAGATAATGGTACGGAACCCTTCGTGCGCGAGTCCGATTCGCACTTGGCCGGTTTTATTACAAATCTCTTTAGTTCATTGTTTTTCGAAAGACAAAATTAAAAAGAACGTTGTTTCGTTTTAAAAAAAATACTTTTAGATGATGTGTATTTGTGTTTAGATAGTTTGAACTTACGATTTTACTTTTTGAAGAGATATTTGTTATATCAATGATAGTAGGAGATGCCAATCTATGTGGTGGACCCCTCACTCTTGTTCCAGGCGAACCTACCTAATATTAACCACCCGAGGAGAGTTACGAGCGACAACTAGTGTGTACAATACAAAGACATATTTTTTAAAAGGGTATTTTTTGTTTATCTCCATTGGAACTCATCCAACTTTTTGCTATTGGTACAAAAACTTTGGAAAATTAGATCACATTCATAAATATTCGCCAAACGACCGACTAGACTGTGTCCGAGCTTCATTTCTATCTACAGTTACGCTAACAAAGTTAGTTTTGGTTGAAAACTATTGGAATTACTTCAATAGCTGTATGAAGTAGAAAGCTGAGAACAACTGGCTTGATTAGACAGTTCTTTGCAATATCACACACTAGTGACTCGCCCTGGCTTCGCCTGCGCTCAGCTCTAGAATAACTTGCTTCTTTTTGCACCCGATTACTGTTCAAATACACTTTAACACTTATAATATTACTAGCTTTTGCTTCTGAGTTCACTCGCATATTTTATTTTAAATATATAATTTCCCCGCTCCCTAGACCTTACTTATGAAGACTAGATGCCTAGAGATAGCTTTTGAGCTTTCTTCATAAAAAGCTATCAATTTATACAAAAAAAATCAAAAGTGATTATCGCTTTTAAATAAATAAAAAATAATACCTTCTGTTTTATAATGAGTTTAATTATTAAAAAGCTTATTTTTTGTTCATTGGTGCGATTGGGCAGACGGGTAGTTTATAGGTAAGAGAGGTCGGTTAATAATGGATTCAACGCCAGGGCCGAATTAAGGGAGGTCTAATAGTTTTGTTGATATAGGGACATAAAAATAAAATTATCTGTTCACGAATGCTTAAATACGACGAGATCTTAAACTACCTATGTATATAACAAAATTACATAAAGAACAAATTTATTAATAAAATTTATTAATAGTACCTGGGCGACCGAGCTTCGCTCGGTGTTTTTGGCCAAAAAAGCATATAAAAAAATTTACTAAAAATATTAATAAATACAAAAAAAACACAAGTAAAATCTTTGTGGAACCAGGATACGAATCCAGACACCTATGGTTATCAAACTTGCGCCTTGGCCGCTTGACCACAATGCTTATGCCTGAGAGTGCGAAATTAGCGACCATATTTCGTGTGGAATAATGTGAAAGAATCCCTCATGAAATCTCGAAAACACACGTTTACCCAGACATAAGACCACGACAAGGTCAACGCACGTTGGGGGGACCCAGACATAAGTCTAATCTAGATCGATTTTTCGCCCCCGAAAATACCCACATACCAAATTTCAGCAAAATCGTTTGAGCCGTTTTCGAGATCGCCGGTATAAATAAATAAATATATATACCTACAAGAATTGCTCGTTTAAATATAATTAGATATACATACTACATATAGTATCTTAAAGTTTTTGTGGAACTATTAATGATATATGTATGTCATGTTGGCTATACATTGTTTACATTTTTAAACAACCATTAATTAAAGTCGCACACGCAAAAAGCACTTTATAATTTTAGACTTTCCAGACAAAACCATGACAGCTCGGACAAAACACACAATAGACAATAATTTATAACCTACATATATCATTTAGAGATAATTAGCTAACTCTTAGTGAAAGAACTATTCAAATCGGTTCTATATTTTCAGAGTTTATTGTCTTTAAACAAAGAAACAAACAAAACTTTCTTCTTTATTACACGAGTATAACAATATAGAAAAGATAACCCCTAAACATGTCCCCTCTACATACAAGCAGCAGGATAATATTATAGAAGCCGTTAACAATGCAGCTTGAACTTTAGCTTAAGTTGTAGGGAAAAGCTCGTTTTTCCGAAAAAATAATAATTAAAAAGGAAGGACATATAGCTAAGTACATTCAAAGGTGATGACGCGACCATCTGGGGCACGCGAGCTATTTCACTAAGTCGGGTGGCATTTCTTCCATCTTTTCTAATGCGATGCTCACTTACGGTCCTGTACTGGAAAATATCTATTTTAAAGTATAGTACAGTTCTGATGGTAATAGTAGGAGATCCCGATCTATGTGGTGGACACATCACTCTTTTTCCAGACAAAATCGTCTGATTCTTCTGATCGTCTCGTCGATTTTTTTTAAACCATAAAACATTAACAAACACGACCCAGGGAGGGTGTCACCAAAAATTTGCTCCAAACTATTTTTATTGAAAAATCCTCTAGCCTGGAGATGCAGTGACCCCCTGGTTGTTAATATTTTTTCGCTCCGGGTTCAGCTCCGTCTGTGTAAACCTTTAGACTAAGTATATGTGAAATAACAAAGTTTATTTTATTTATTGTATTCATTACTCTCTTCCTCATATGTTACCTATACAGAAATAATGTTTTAAATAAAATAAGCTTATCTTTTCGGATTATTTCCCGTGACCATAATTAAATACTTCGACATTTGAAACGTCGCGTCGGGAACCAAAAATCAAAATAAATCCGCGAAAAAATCCGAAAAGATAGTTTTATTTAAAATGTCAAATATTCGCGTAAATCTAAGAAAGTAATAGAGATGTTTTTTTTTCAACTAATGATATACGTATAATCTGAAATTTATGTGCCAACTACCACGAGTTTAGCTCTTGAAATTATGAATTTTCACGCTGTTCATTCTCTATTAAACAAAATAAAAAATTTATTATCAAGAAAAATCCCTAATAAGTTAATTTAAAAATATAGAGCTAGAGAAATTCAATATAGAGTTAAATTAATTATAGTTTTTATTTTAAATTCAATGTAGTTTCAATAAACAGTTAAAGAAAGTCAATTAAATGATTTAAGTTTTTTTTGTAATTAGATAAATTATAACATCTAACATAAATATTTGTTTGTTGCAGGTCGATTGAAAATCAATGCACGAAAGCTCATAACAACAATCCTCTAAGTAAAAACTTTTTTAAGTCAAACGGTCTCATACTCATTATATTATTTCAAAAAAAAGACAATGATTTTGCATATTATTATTTAAAGCTATCTACTCTTAAATATGTGCAATAAAAAACTAAACTATAAAATAAAGATGACATCTTTAAAGGCACAAAGTACCTAAAGGACATAAATATATAAATTTTCATGTAGGAAAATATAAATGAATTGAGTGAACTATTCAAATTAATAGTAAATAAGTGGAACAAAATTTGCACTTTAACATTAAAAGTGTTTAAAAGTGTATAAGAAGTGTAGTGATAGTGCGTTCCCGAGATGCAGACTAACGTGCAGATCGACACGAAGGGGCTGCGACACTCGCCCGAGCATGGCAAAGGGCAGGGGAACTACCGCGGAGTCACCGCTGAGGTCAGTATATTGTATTATATATTTTCCTTCTTTCAGTCCTAATAATCTTTATTTTTTACTTCTTTCCTGTCTTGTTTTAAAAATTAATTAATAGTATTTATTAGCATACAATGTTATGTATACCTAATATTATTTAACTATTTATATTTGAGTATCTGTATGCTATTTACTTTATTATAACTGCGCGATTTTAGGCTGTTTTATAAGATTATTTCTCACTACTTTGTTTAGCTGGAAGAGATCTCTTCTAGATACATCCACCTTTGCAAACAAAAATTGTATTTTAATTACTGTATTTAATTTAAGTGTAATAAAAAACAGTATATTATATCAGGCCAAGTGAGAACAGTTTTTCTGGCCTGAGTGACCCTGATATGGCTTACTGATTATCTTCCAACTGCTGGATGCAAATTTTACAATTATAGATTTTTCTTATCTACAAATTTTTTTTGGTTTTATTTATGTAAATCAGCTTTCATTAGTAGATTAAGCTGGAGCTTCCCGTAATAATATCCACCATAATATGTCCTTTCTTAGATTTACGCGAATATTTGACATTTTAAATAAAATTATCTATGGTCTCCCGTGACCATGATTGCTGTAAAGCATTCGAAACGTCGCATCGAGAACCAACAATCAAAATAAATCCGCGAAAAAATCCGAAAAGATAGTTTTATGTATGTATGTCTCCGACTGCATAATACTGTATTCCTTACTATTATATTATAACTTGTTTTCATCTTTTTAGTTAGCTTTTATGCAGTCGGGTTTTTTATATTTTTATAATATATTCACACTTAATATTATAAATATGAGAGTGTGTTTGTTTGTTTGTCCTTCTTTCACGTCGAAACGGAGTGACGGAGATAGTTGGAGGGCTGGAGAATGACATAGACTACTTTTTACCGCGAGAGATTATCTAATTCCCTCGGAAAAACACGTTATAGTACAATCCAAAAAAAAATTATGATCAGAATTACTTGAAACTAGGTATTATTGCTTTTCAATAAAATTAAATAAATGTTTTAGCATTTTTCGAAATTCATCCTATAAGGAGGAAATTTATGAAACAACCTTTTTAGAGATTTTCGAGTTTTAGCGCGAGCGAAGCCGCGGGTTCTGCTAGTTTAATATATATATTATAATATATATATTTAAGTATTTTTAAATAGGAAAATTAGCGAGAATGGTTGTTAACCAACTTTAAATCATTATATATCCTAAACTGTTATTTAAAATAAAAAAATGAAAATTTAAAATAACCACCATGTTAGTACAGAGCCTTGTATGGACGACTGCGGATTAAGAGTCTTAAATTCAAGTCCCCGCCCGCCCAAACACAGAAATAACTTTATTGGGGTCTTTCTGTCAAGAATTCCCCAGTAATAGCCTGTTGGGGAATTCTGTTATACCTCCATGCCTCAAAGAGCAAGTTAAGCTATTACATGTAATCTTTATTATTGTGCTCGATTTATTGTCCCACAGGACTATATAAGAAATATTTAATATAATATATACATACGAGTACCTATATAAACGGTGCACTTGAGGTTGCGCGAACATTTGTGCGTTATAATATCTCTCTGGGTAGATAGTAAGATTGGCGGAAAAAAATAGTAGCTAGCATGTACGGCCGTAGATTCGGAGGTCCTGGGTTTGATTCCCGGCTCGGGCTAAGTTCAGTCATTGAGTTATTTTTGTCAATAATTCTCAGTAAGAGTCCGGAGTTGGCGGTGTTTCATCCTCGTGCCTCGGAGAGCACGTAAAGCCGCCGATCCTGCGCCTTAATTCTCACTGGTCGTGTAGACTAGTCGTCCTACCGGAGTATGAGAGTGACAGGAATAGAGAGTGCATTTGTGTCTGTGCGCACATTTGTGCACACTAATATCTCCAGCGCAGTTGGCTAGTCACAGTGAGATTGGCCGCCGTGGCCGGAATCTGTCGGGAAAACATAGCTAAATAGGCTGTGAAGTGGTAATAATGAACTAAATGTAAGCTACTATGTAAATAAAGCGCGATATAACACAGTAATATAAGCATCAACAGCCGTCGTCATCTGACAATAGAGATTTTAAGTGGGCTTTTAATACGTTTACCGAATCACATAACACGTTCATAACGATGTTTCGGTTCCTTTATTATCATAATATTATTTTTAAACGATAAAAGGCTCGTAAAAAGTTATTCTGCCACAAAAAAAGCGCACTAAAAGTTTATTTCTTTAAGTAATGAAATTCGAATTTATGGCGCACGTGGCTATAGGCGCTGCGCTAGGTACCTAGGCCGGGAGTTCGCACGTTGTTGTCAATGCTTTGACTTCATAAAGATTTACCTATTAAACATTAGTATGTCGATCATGCCTTCAATAAAATAAAACCCTTATGATCTAATACTTTCTTAGATTTACGAGATTTTGACGGGAGAGTCTCTCCCGTGACCATGATTGCTGTAAAACATTCGAAGCGTCGGGAACCAAAAATCAAAATAAATCCGCAAAAAAAAATCCGAAAAGGTAGATTTATTTACAATCCCATATAATTTGTGCACTGGCAACCTATACGAGCTGTTGATTTTAGCAAAAAATTCTCCATTTTTACGCCACACTTACCAAGTTGCGAGCAAAAGCTGTAGTACCGTGAATGCTAACTTAACAGAAAGTTATCTAGGGTCGCTTGTCCGGTTGTTTATTATATTTAATAGATCCTGTGGGATATTAGTCTGACACGGGAATTGTCTATGGATGTAAAATAAATAAAATATAAATATGTTGGGACATTAACACACAGCACCATCTAGTTCCATGGTAAGCTACGAGGCTTGTGTTATGGATACCAGATAGTTGATACACTGCACATATATAACTATAAATACGTACATATTATAAATATGACTGGAGTACAAACATTCGTGCTCATCACGTAAATGAATGCCCCCAGCGGGACTCAAACCCGCGACCGCTGGCACGGCAAGGAGCATCAGTACAAACTGAGCCCAACGTGTCATCAATGTCATGTGAAGGAACATCACTATTTACGAGTATATTAACACACCGTGTACTTATCTGTAGATGACACAAGTGAAATAGGTTTGTGGCTTTGTAATTAAACCGTGTTCGCGTTTTTAATCAGTGTCCGTTAACCAAAGACACTGTAGTTCGAGAAAACAAGTTAAAATATTGTGCACTGTTCTTGATAGGTTTGTTGATAAATCTATATGTTAATTTAAATTAACAAAAGCTCAATTCTAAGTTTTTATCCAAATCCTTTGAGTTGTTACTGCAAAAAAAAGTAACTAAATATACACAATAATTCACATACATAGTTTGTATTTAAAATAGTAGTTGCAAACACATAAACAAAATTATTTCTGATATGAGTTTGATTTAGATTTATTTATTTATTTAATAGGACCACCATCACTGACTAGTATACGTATGAAACATTTACAATAACTAATATATTACGTTTTAAGGTTTAGTAAAGATTTGTCAGAGAGGAGATATTTTCCAGCAGTAAAAAGTATCCTATATGTTGAGACGGATAACCAGCTATCATCATACAAAATTTCATTAAAATCTGTCCAGTGGTTTTCTCGTGATACTGTCTCAGACAGAAGATATTAACAATAATAAAAACACTATCTGATATAATATATGACTATGATAAAAATAACTATTTCAATAAGATTCTCCAAAAAATATTTAATTTACAGATTCGACTCAGAATTTTATTATATGTATAAGTAAAATATTTTCAGCTTCACATGTAAACTTTAGTGTAGATACATATTTTACAGGTATTCACTACACTGTTAGAACAAACAATGGTACTTTAATCTACAATAATAGATTTAATTACAAGACGTATCAAGTTACTACGTTAGTTTTTAAATAAAACATTTTTTTTCGAATTTGGTTGTTCGTGGTTTTATTTTGATTTTTTTGTATCTGGTTTGGAACGCTTTACAGGAAACATGGTCTCGTATATTTAGCCCTTAGGTAACTTTTGAACAATAGACATATTATATTTTCGTAATATTATAATTTATGGGTAAAGTTACTTATTAAATATAGTTCGGGGTTCGGAAACCTGTCCAATTTTTAAACCGGTTCTGGTCATTATATTATATAAATTACTTATATAACACACCAAATGTTTTTCAGGCTTTTAGTTTACGGTTTCGGTAACGATCTTTAACCGGTTAAAACTCAGAAAACGGTTTTGTCGAATTTAGGTTCCATGATAAAAATTAACCAGTTAAAATGAGTTTTTGTCCGTTCACATTTGGCGAATCTTAGCTAATGTTAAATTGCGTAGTACTAACTTTTCTCTAAGAATAGTATTTTTTTATTTTATTATTTCATTTTAGCGGCTATAGGATGTAACAGCGACGATTCTTGGTCTATTGTGTTATCTAAGCATTTTTTGGTTTACTATACCTTACGTTTTCTTTAAGCGGTTAAAGAACGAGCGAAGAATTAACCATTACATTACCGTAATAAACCGTTTTTTTTAAATCGGTTTCAAGCCCTGGTAGACGGTGGTATTCTATTATATAGTTCAACTTTAAACCGGTTCCGCCATCTGTCACATTTGTATAAAAACTCGTTGAAAAAATATTGTGACAGCGCCATCTATGTTCCTAGTTTTCAACTACTTCTCAATCTAGCTACGAATATCCTAATGCCATTTATAGCTCATAGATGGCGCTAAATATAAAACATCTCTTTCACTTGTAATACGTATTTATGTATATTATTTTTCATTTAAATTATATACTACTAAAATGGCAAATTTTAAGAAAAATATTTTATAAAATCCAAAACAAGTGTTTACTTCGATTTAATGTAAGATGGTATCTAAAAGAAATTACATATTTTCCTGTTAGTAAAAAAAAACGATATATAATTTCGTAATCATGTAGTAAGGACTTTATTCAGATATTACAATTTTTTTTCGCCATGTACTTTCTTATAAGTAATAGGTTTTCATAGTGGATGATATTTTTTCCATTATATACATAAGTGATCTAAATCGGTCCGTTTCACATTATTGATCAAATATCGCAACACCTTTATAAAATGATATACATTGAATTCAATAGTTATAGGTTACCCCTCATTTCTGAAATCGGTCAAGACACACGCGGAAAGCTAATAAAATAGGCCTACTGCCTAGTAGAGGCAAAATCTAGAGTAAATATTTGTATAACAAGCAAAATTCAAGGCTGTGCCTAAAAGTCAAGTCAAACTTCTTACAACGATGCTCGAAAGATAATACAGACTTTAGTAATAACAAATTGAGAATTCAGTGTTATTGAATTATTTGTGTAAATCATACTTATTATTCATTTTTATGAATGAGAAAGCTTATTTTTGATTTTGGTACTTTATAGAAAGTGCAGATGAGTCATACGTTATATGCCTCATAATGTCTCTTTGGTCTGGTGGTTAGCATGTGCGGCTGCAGATTTTGTCTTCGTGTCTTGGGTCGAGACAAATATAGTTAGGTGTTTTGTTATGAAGTAACAGCCTTCTTCTTCTCCCTGCCCATTTCCCAATCACTTGGGGTCGGCGCAGTACATCTTCTGTACTGCTGATAGGATTTGGCAAAAGTTTTACGACCGGCCGCCTCACGCCTGCCTGACGTCAACCCTCCTTGGGAATGCTATTTATTGTCTCTCTTTGTCTGAATGGTATTGCGAAGTCTTATAGTATGCACTTTCGATTTTTTTGTCTCTTAAAACCATTTTTTATACTATTACATAAATTTTTAATGTTATTTTCGAATACATTTTAAAATATTTTTTTTTAAACAGTAACAGTCCGTAATTAGGAATTTGGCGGTGGTTTACCGCTACGCTTGGGAGAGCACGTAGAGCCTTCGGTTCTGCGCCTAATGTCTTGCCGGTCGTGTCGAATTGTCGCCCCACCGGAAATTAAACGTGTAGGGAGGAAAATGAAATCGTGGGATGTTATACAACCTAGAGGCGTATCTGTGGGATCTAAGGGCGCTAGTAATTAAATTCAATTTAAATCAATTCAATTTTTATTATTTTGTATCTCTCAGATTTACTTACTTTACTTTCTTAGATTTACGCGAATATTTGATAATTAAAATAAAACTATCTTTTTAGTTTTTTCCCGGATTTTTTTGATTTTTGGTTCTCGGCGATTCGAATGCTTTACAGCAATCATGGTCACGTCAGACACTAAGGTTTTAGACGCCTCAAAAGTATATAGGAAAAATCCGAAAAGATAGTTTTATCTAAAATTTTGCATTAAATTTTATAATTTTTACAGAAAGAAAATGCTTAAGTCCTGACAAGAATTAAAAGAAACTCGACAGGACAAAGTTTTTTTTTACTTCTTTAAGAAGTATAAATTGCAATAGGTATCAAAATAAAGCTACGCGATAACTTCCTCCTTTTTGGAAGTCGGTTAAAAAGAAAAAATGTATAATCTTACATATTATACAGAATAATGTATGCAAAGGACACAATCCTGGATTGCTACAACACGACATTGCATCCGAGGCTCGTAAAGCTAGCGTTAAAGTGGGACAAGGATTTATATATGAATTGTTACGTGCGGTGGCTCCGCTGGCGATTTGAAAAATATAAAACAGCACTCACTTACATTATTATTCTTCTATTTTAGAGCTTTTTTGACAAGACTCTAGTAGAAACATAATCGTACAGGAAAAGTAGCATATTATATAAAATTGACAAAGAAATACAAGTAAAGCTACTTAGTGCTTACAGCGTTAGTAGTACATAAATCTAGTTTTTCCGATTTTATCGCGGATTTATTTTGATTGATGGATGCTGTGTGGTATTCGAAACGTTAGGAACTAAAAATCAAAATAAATGCGCCAAAAATCGGAAAGAATACATTTATTAAAAACGTAAAATATTCCCCTAAATCAAAATAATAAGCAGTCAAGTGCAAGTTGAATTCGCACACGAAGGGTTCCATACCATCGTACATGTACTTTTTATTAATATGATTTTTACTCTATGTATGTAGTACCTACATTATAATCGATTACGAACGTTAAAAAAAATTCTTACATTTTTTTATTTTTATTATTTGTTGTTATAGCGACAATAGAAATACAAACTCTGATGAAATTTCAACTCTCTACCTATTACGGTTCATGAAATACAGCCTTCTAACAGACGGACGGACGTCAGATAGCGGAGCCTTAGTAATAGGGTTCCATTGGAAACTTTGACATACGGACGGACGGTGTAACCTATTATATAGGACATCGACTCTCGGGCATGGAAGTTAATAATATGTAGTTAATAATTTAGCAGAGGTTTTTTATTTAGATATATGTGAACCAATATTTGTTTGAATTATAACAATTCTTGAATGTATAAAAAAAACCACGTATCAAAATATTTCTCATCATTTTTAGTTCAAAAACCAATCTAATGGATTCTTTCCAAACTTCAGATCATTTTGCAACGATAATAAATCCCCGCGTTCCCGCAGCTTTAGAGATACCAATTAAAATACATGTCACATATTGTATTGTTGTATTTTGATAATGCATTTGTTATTAGTTTGTTACAGAAAAATCTTTATTTATATTAATACTAGCAACTTATTGCGACTCTACTTGCTTAACAGGCTATGTGCTACTTTTAATCATAGTCTATTTGTTTTTTTTTATTTGAGTAAGTCTAACACCCACAGACATACGTCCGTGCCTTTTTTGAGTATTTTTATATTTTCTTGTTATTTTTATTTTATCTTATTTAAGATGAATTCGTGCGTGTACAATTTTAGAATCAAAAGATTTTGCTAACAAAAAAGAAAAGCTGAACAAAACTATGGAGTCGGGTGGACTTTAAGAGTCCACCCAAATGAGGTTGGTATATTATATGCGATTTAAATAAACGAATAAAGGACTTTAAAGAGTCATGGGTTGAGCTTGATGATTTTAGTCTATTTTTTTAGTGTGTATTAGTAATAAAAATACATATATAACTAGTTTTAGGTGAAATTTTCTAAGAAAACTCATTTCTTGCAATTCAATTTTTTTGTCCGTCATACAAGTAGTGTCAAAGCATAAGATACAAAAGCTTATTTAGATAAAAAAGAATTGCACGCTCGCGTCTGTCCGTTATTTCTTCTCTCCGCTGGATCGAAGAACATGAAATATGTTATTAAAGCATGCATACTGGATATATAGCGCAATAAATTGATTTTAGATGTCATGTTAAATAAATCTATCTTTTCGGTTTTTAATACATCTATACATATATTAAAATTGTAACTAAATCGAATCTGTACATTCAATATTTTTTGGAAAATTTAATTGAAATAGACTATATTATCCATACAGAGTCCGAATCTATAGTTTTAGAATTTTTGTCTGTCTCATCACTAGAAAACCACTAGACAGATTTTGATGAAATTTGGTATGATGATAGCTGGTTATCCGGGTCAACATATAGGATACTTTTTACCGCGGGAAAATATTTCAATTCTGAGAAAAATACAAAAACTGTATTGTAAGAGTATACTAATATGTAAACCCTAAGAATTTGGTTTTTGTTTATCTGAACGCGGGCGGAGCTGCGGGTAATGCTAGTATATAATAAATCCGTGAAAAAAATCGAAACGATAGTTTTATTTATAATGTTTATATTTACGCGAATATTCGGCGTAAATCTAAGAAATTAATTGTTTTTGCGTCGTTATATTTAGGTGAGAAATATCCAGTGTCCTAAGATCAAAAGGACGTTGTCAGAAACAAGCTCCTTCAGTTTCTAAATGGTGTTACTGGTTTCTCCTTCGAGAGCGACATTGACCTATAAGCGTAGATAAACGGCCAAGCTCAATATTTTACTATTTCACCAATTTTAACAGGACGTATATGATTTACTTAACTACTACCCTTCGTTCGTTTGTCTTTTTAAATTCAGATTTAAATATTTGATATTTGTATAATTGAGTATTTTGGAGATTATATACATATAAAGAAATCACTTCTTGTGTGATTGTGTCTGTGCGTTGGCTTGGTTAGAGCTAAATTAAATTTACTAAAGGTTTCTTAATCTTGAATTAAAGATTTTTACTTCATTAAAACACCCAATATTAATACTATGGATTCAATAGATACAATTAACTTTAGCTTTTCGCATTACACGGCTACATTAAAATGGGGATCATGTTACGTGTACTATAAATAAAAATGTTTTTCTAGAAGATAGCACACTTTGGGAATAATGTAATCCAGGCTTGAAAGAGGATCTTAATTTTTTTAAGTATAAAATAATGAAAAAAAAAAATTGTCTTCTTCCTGATTTATTTTTGTAGAGAACAGAGTAATATACCGACGAGATTTTTTCATGTAAATATTTGAGAACTGTTTTTTTATAGAAATAGCTTAATAATGAGCTCTTACTGGTACATCCAGTAATAGTAGTTCATTTGTGAAGCACTCATTTGGAAAACTAAGTGAAGCGGGCGTGAACCTTTGTCTCGAACCCTTGAGATTTTCATGTATGATTTATTTTCAACACGATTAGATCACCTAGATGTAAAAAATAAACAGTTTTACGTTTTAGAGTTCAGTTAACATGCATTAGACTAGCGTGGGTTACGGCTAATCTCCCTCGCAAAATCTCCCTCAAAATGCCTATCTTTACTTCACCAGCGACTTATCCGCTTTGCTCGAGTACCCCTATGATATATTACTAACACTAGGAAAACAAAAACAAACCTATCCCACGGGAACCCTACATTTTTCCGGGATAAAAAGTTGCCTATGTGTTATTCCAGACTATAACCTATCTCTGTGCCAAATTTCATTCAAATCCGTTCAGCTGTTCTGGCGTGAAAGAGTAACAAGCATCCGTACATACTTACAAACTTTCACAGTTACAATATTAAATAATACGGATATCTGTGTACATTCAAATCCGTCCAGCCGTTTCATCGTAAACGAGTGACAAACATACACATATAAACTTTCACATCTATAATATTAGTCCGACTATGTGGTTACCTAGGATATGAATATGTTGAGAATAAGTCACTTATACCTATCGTAACTTTATAAGCCTTTTATTTCGAGGGCGTCGATGCAGTAAATTACATACTAATTAATATTTATTATAAAAGCTCCACGAAACTCTCTACTGACGCGACTGTCGAATACACTTGAAGTTAGTCCTGTAAAAGTTTGCTTCATAATAATTATTCAACTATAAAGTTTTCATTTCAGGCATAAATTGGTAGTTTCTACACTATAGCACTTTCGGGTCGAAAGTAGTATCTTTTCTATGATATAAATCTGTATATAAAAATTATGAATGTGAAAGTTTGTGAGTATTTATGTATGTTTGTTACTATTTCAAGCCAGAACGGCTAAATAAATCTAGATGAAATTCGGCACAGAGATAGATTATAGTCTGAACAACATATAGGCTACTTTTTATTCTAGAAAAATATACGGCTCCCGAAGGATAGATTTGTTTTTGTGTTTCTAGAGGCGAACCCGAGCAACGTGAAGGTGAGCCGCTAGTAAATACATAATTCTAGCATAGACGACACGTTTGGCTCAGTTTTCAACCGACTTCAAAAAGGAAGAGGTTCTCAATTCGGCTGTATTTTTTTTTGTTTTTGTTTGTTTTTTTTTTTATATTTGTTACCTCAGAACTTCGTCATTTATTAACCAATTTGGACAATTTTGGTGTTGTTTGAAAGTGTATACTTCCAGATTGGTCCCATTTAAATTAAAAAAAAAAATACCACCCCTAAGGGTGGAAAAATAACTAGTGATGAATTTAACCTACTTCTAATTGTCATATTGACTTGAAACTTTGCAAGTGTTTCTATTTCCGTTGATGGTTCGGTATTGTTGAACGCCAGAAGGTGGATAGGTGGAGCTCTTCAACGGCTAATAGTAGATACTTGAGTTTGGGCTTATTTTATTTGATTTGACAAGCCTAACACGTTAAAATTCTTACTTTACAACTACTGTCTACACTAAAAAGGGAAAAATAAAAACTTTTTAACAAAAAAATAAAAAGCGACTTCAAACAAAAGCAATAAAAAGTAAAAAATAGCTGATTGGTAGTTTTCATTTACTATACATACCTAATCAAATATTTTCGAAGTCGGTGTACTTTGGCTAAGTAACCTATTAAATACATACCTAATCAAATATTTTAAAAATCGGTGCCAGCCCATACAAAGCAAAGCACAACGAGTTCGAAAATATTTGATTAGGTATGTATAGTAAATGAAAACAACCAATCAGTTATTTTTTACTTTTTAGTGCTTTTGTTTGAAGTTGGTTTTTATTTTTTTGTTAAAAAGTTTTTATTAGTGACCCCATTGCCGTGCCAGCGGTCGCGGGTTCGAGTCCCGCAGGGCGTATCCATTTGTGTGATGAGCACGAATGTTTGTACTCCAGTCATGGGTGTTTATATTTATAAATTGTATGTATTTGAAGCTATAGTATGTAGTGTATCAACTATCTGGTATCCATAACTTAAGCCTCGTAGCTTACTATGGAACTAGACGGTGCTGTGTGTAAGTATGTGTCCCAACATATATTTATATTTATTCATTTACAAAAACTAAG